GTAATTGGCACAATATCATATCAGCCCAATACCCCCACAAGAAAGAGTGGATCAAGGGTAACGGTCCACAAAGGAGAACCTGACGCTCGTCGGTTTGGTACAACGCTCGTCGCCTTTATCTTGGTCGTCTAAGTCAGACAATCAATCGGAAGCCTCAACGAACGAAGACGCTTGGCGGGCCCGAGAGACATATTGGCCTTGCGCTTACTTAGATTTGGGGTCAGGGAGTCTTTGGGCACGAACGTCCAAGATAATTGGCGGAAAAGCATGATAATGGCGGGAAACACCTTAAATGCACAAGATATGCAATATTTGGTGGTTCGGAAGCTAGCCACTCATGATCCTCCACATCACCACTACCACTTACCTCATGGTATCATAAATAGTAGCATTTATTTCATAATTAGGGGGTTGAGCTCTTGTATTCACTAGCGTTAAGCTCTCTAATTCTATGTATTCTAGCTCAGTTTAGACGTCCAGGTTCGGCTTCAGTAGGGTGCGTTGTAATTGTTCATTGTTGTTTAATAAGAACTCGGCCCACTTATTGTCTCCCCTCCTATTTTCTAAATACTTGTGCCATTCCATTCACTGTAATCTACTAAACGTCCATCGAAACCCAAGGGAAGGTGTTGGCCCTTTGGAGTCGGAGGAATAAACCTCAACACATAGCAAATGAAGCCTGAACACGGATTTTAGAACTCAAGATGATCTTTCCAACGAGAATTAGATTGCTTGAAATGGAAGAACATATAGCACGATATGGTTAAATCAAATACTTAACCTGTTTTCTTTAATTTAGCGTTTTCAAAGTAAATAGATCATAATTAGGGTCCATGGTTCGAAATTCGGTGCATAAGGTACCCCTGCTTTAATATTTTGAAAACGAAGTTTGAATACAAGTTTTAGAACCTAAAAAGATCTTTTCAACGTGATATGAAACACCTCAATCTAAAAAATCACACAAAAAATATGATCGAGTCAATGCTACACTTGTACGTGGTGAAAGCCACTTTTTTTTTTAAAATTTGTGAATAATGCGGACATATCCCCTATATTTTATAAACGAAGTCTAAATAAGTCTTAGAACTCGATACGATCTTTCCAACGAGATATATAACACTTAGAACTAATCAAAATATAGTAAAATATGATAAAAATCAAATACTACACGAGTTTGGAGTGAAACTCAGAAATGATTATAGATTTCTAATTAATCTATACCTACTCTTTAATACACAACAAATGAAGTTTGAACACGGGGTTTTTAGAACTCAAAACAATCTTTTCAACGAGATATAAACTGCTTGAAACGGAAGAACATTTTGATACATGTTTTGAAAATTATTCTCATGTTTTGAAATATCTCACCCCAAACATAATTAGGATATTATTAAACTTTAATGGTGTGAGTTGGTTAATTGCTTTAAACATGTAAATAAAATGGGATGCCGGTTAGTGTAATATAGAGACGCTAATTAGTGTAAGTTTAAGACCAAATACTACACGAGTTTGGAGTGAAACTCAGAAATGATTATAGATTTCTAATTAATCTATACCTACTCTTTAATACACAACAAATGAAGTTTGAACACGGGGTTTTTAGAACTCAAAACAATCTTTTCAACGAGATATAAACCGCTTGAAACGGAAGAACATTTTAATACATGTATTGAAAATTATTCTCATGTTCTGAAATATCTCACCCCAAACATAATTAGGATATTATTAAACTTTAATGGTGTGAGTTGGTTAATTGCTTTAAACATGTAAATAAAATGGGATGCCGGTTAGTGTAATATAGAGACGCTAATTAGTGTAAGTTTAAGACCAACACCCACTCTTAATATCATTCCCATGTGAGAGATCTTGAGTTTAAGTTATCAATGAGTAGATTTTCTATAAAAAAACGATCTTTTAGCTCCAGTGTTAGCTCGAGTGATAGCAAAACCATTGTTTCGTCTAAACTCAAATGACAGTGTGAGAGTTGACTTCTTGTTGAGAAATCGGTGGTGTATGATATGCGACGGTTCTCACGCGAGAAGTCTGATAGGGATATGAGGACACGTCATCCAATCACTTCAAAGCAAATTGTTGTGTGTCGTGGTGTACAGTTGGCGGTAGAAATCTAGCAGATTGTTGGAACAATTTATTTTCACAAGCCTCAAAGGTTTGTAGTGTATGGAAGTCCAAGATTACTCCGACGAAATCAGGATCACTTACAACAACATTACCCCATAAAGGCTTCTACCCACAGTGGGGTAAGGAGGTCGGGCGTACACAACCTTACAAAGTAGGGAGAGACTGTTTCCAGATGACCCATGACTAATTTTGCAAGGATTGATCATTGCTTCATAACAAACAAAGTTCACACAGTTTAGTGAGTCATTTTGTTTTATTTCATCATTTTTGCAAGCCCAAATATAGTAGGGATTGTTTACGAATAGAGATATTTTCCGGTATTTCTAAAAAAATGGAAAACTGGAAAATGGAAAAAGTGTTCACCGAAAAAAAAATGTTGGAAAATTGGAGAAAGGAAAACAGGAAAATGCAATTACCATATCATTCTCCAAAAAAAGATATGTTACTATTTTCCTTAATGAATTGAAGAAGTAAGTTTTACTAGTTTACCAAATCTGAGATGCATGGACGCTACAATATTGCTGCAACGAATTTACCTACTTACGCCTAGTGGTAGTAGACCTATCCCGCTCCGGTACCTGTTCCGATCCGGTCTAGTCGATGGTTGTGCAATCTCAGTTTGGTCCAGTCGATGACCCCATTGTCCCGATCCGGTTCCCATTTAGTTAAATCATTTTTTCAAATTGAGTAGTTTCAAAAGAGCCGTACACACTTATAGGGAAAATGAAAAGAATTAGTCAAACTAGCCATTGAGACTGACCGCGACCAGTTGGTTTCAGTCCCAACTTTCCTATACCCGGGACCAAGTATCCTATTTGGGTTGTACTAGATCTGGTTCCTGATCGGGACTGTAATTTCAGTCTTCCCATCAGTTCCAGAATCAGGTGAAAAAATTTGGTGAATATTTACGATTTTTTTTCCGGAAGAAGGAGACTTAAATTGATATTACAATATTCAGATAGGAGGTAAAAAGACAAAAGGATCACACGCAACCGCCGGCCCTCGAACCAGACTTAGAGTCAATCATTTTAAAAAAAAGCAATATGACTCACTGATCCTATAAGAGCATCCACATTCATGCTACTAAAATAATCCGATTATTTAATGACACGTAGATTTTTTCAAAATGATCTCAAAGCTTTTAAATTACATCATTCATCATCTCAAAATAATCATATCTTTTGTGGTCCTGCACTGATTAATTAATACTAGCTTCACAATAATCTTGAAATAATCCGGATTCATATTTCAATCCCAGATTATTTTATCAAATAATCTCACCAATTAATCTTCATCATCCAATCACCATCCCAAAAATAATCCGCCACATCACCAATTTAATCCTCTAATAATCCTATGGATGGAGATGCCCTAATTGACAATTTGGCATAAATGAGCCAACGACGGTTCAAGCAGGTATCCCATTATCCAATCCTAATGCAAGAGTCTTACAAATAAAAGTAACCAACGGAAAAATAAATAGTCTCATCATGAAAAAAAAATAACAAGCAAACAATAAAATTAAAATGCTGCTTCCAAACCCTAGACTCACCTGCATGCCATGGAGGCAGTTTAGGGGGAGGACGATCCAGCAGTATTGTTAGCTTGTTCCTCACAATGCCTCTCAATCATCATATTCTCTACCAAGTCTCCTCTGTTGCCACCTAACACGGATGACCTCGAATCCAAATTTGTTCTAGCCTCTAGCTCCACGCTTCGTCCATGACCTTCTAATCTCAACCATGAATGACATCCTCGAATTCACAATAAAAAATTGGAGAACTAGGAAAGAAAAGAAAATTGCAAAATATCTGTTTTAAGATGAGCCCTAAATAGCGCCTTAAACGAAACCTAGAGAGAGGGAACTCTCACTTCTCTCTAAAACCTAGCGGCCGTCTCCCCTCTTTGTAGGGCTTGAGATTTTCCGTTGTCCCATCAATATGGGATTGGAGCGGCAGATTATTCTGATTTTAAGTTTTATGATGCTTGGGATAACAACTATGTAGAGGAGATAACGTTGGTGGATGAATGGATTGCAGATGAGATTTTGTTTCGGTGCTGGATCATGAAGCCTTGGTCGGCCGCTTCGACGATGGTTGAGTTTGTATTCATACATATTGCAAGAGCTCGTCCTCCTCCAGAACCACCTCCATACCAGGAAGAGTTTTGCGGAAAGTTTTTATTGCAATATTATTTTCTCTTTAGTACTGTTAGTTTTAGTTTTAGTTAGAGTGGATTTGGTTTGAATGTTTGGATTTTTGGAGTTATTTTGATAGGCAGGGTTTTAGATATGTTCATTTTAGACTTAAATTTACTCGTTTCAGGTTTAGCGAGTCAAATTGCTTTGTATGAGGTGACTGATTCTACGCCTACTCCTAGGCCTAGAGTTCACGATTGGATCTATAAAGTCTGTCTGAAAATTGTCTTGTATGCGTTTTTAATTTTAATATAGGTAGATTCTATTGTACTCAAAAGGTACCATACCTTTATCTATATGGACCAATCAAAATGATGCAGTTGAATTATTTAAATGTAAATTAAAAAGCGTATAATAATTTGGACCAATCAAATACATGATAAGTACGATACCCCTTTTTTTAAATGGGTACCGGAATTGTAACCTTTAATATAAAGCTGTCTGTTTTACGATTAAAAAAAGATGAGCCCTAAATTTTTTGCTTTCATTCGAAATGATGGAGTTAAAATGGGGGATCACTTAGGCTAACAAACAAAGTTAAATGTAAATTTAGGTGGTTTCATTTGAACGGTGATTAAAAATTAGAAATACTCCGTATAATATCATCAGGTATGTGCCACAAATAATTCTGCTAGCTATCGCAACCTCAGCGAGCTATGTCGTCGCGCCCTTGCAAACCGATGAGCTCTCCAATGCTCTTTTCCAACAAAAACAATGGGAGGAGAGAGAGAAGAGAGAGAATGGTGGGGGATCGGGAAGACGGAAACTCCGAGGCCGGGAAGAAGATAGTGAAATTTACGAAACGAGCCATTAGAGATTTTCAGTTATGGCAGAGCTTTTTCAACACCTGTCTTCCCTCCTCTGCTCCCACCTCTCCTTCCTCCCTTCCTTTATTACCCGACTCCATTTCCCATTCTCACCATCATTACTGAGCCCAATCAAATTATCCGACCTCAGTGATATATCAATGGAGCGATTTAGTGAGAATTTCGAGAGAGGAAAAATGGAGCGTGAATGAATGAATGAGGATCGAACAAATGTCATGCAGATCGGCGAGGCATCTTTGCCCGATTCGCTCAATTTAGGAATTCCACATTATTGAAATCCCCAATTCCGATTCCGCATCGATTTCTCTTGCGAAAACTGAGGAGGAGCGTGGTGGAAGAGGAGAGAGAGCTCAATTGGTGGCGAGGAATGGAGATTTCCGAGGTCTCTGGTGCGCTGGCAGCGCAGGACTCCTCTGCAGACCGTTTCAGCTTTATGGCCATGGCTGGATTTGGATCCGGCTCTATAAATAATCATCGCGATTATAACTTCAATTACATTAATATTGGTGACGATAATGCCACCAATCCCCTTCTTCACCAATTCGGCAACTCCTGTTCCTCTTCTCCGCCCGTCGATCACCATTTGACGCATCCCCACCTTGCCGCACCGTCCTCCGTCAATGCTCATCAGCTCCGGAAAAGGATGCGCAGCCGTCGCCGGCGCCGGTCTTCTCTCAATTTCTCCCCGCTGCTGCTGCATTGCCATTCTGCCTTTCACCTCCCGCGCGTCTCTCCTCCTCTGTATCCTACTCCTGTACGCTTTCTCTCTCTCTCTCTATTTTCCTGTATTTATTTAGTTTTTAAAAAACTACGGAGTATTATAGTCACACTTATGAAGATATCACATTATAATGAAATATTTTAATAATTTTTTTTTGAGAGATTTTAATACTACCTCCATCCCATATTGATTGTTCACTTTTAATTTGGCACGATTATTAATTAAGTGTTGAAAAGTAAAAGTTGTGGTTGAGATTTGAGTAGAATAAAGTGAAATAATAAGGACCAAATATTTCTTGCCCAAAAAAGGAAACAAGACATTCATTTTGGGACAACCCAAAAACGAAAGTAGGACAACCAAAATGGGACGGAAGGAGTAATATTTTTGAAAAAATTTCAAATAACATTAATTTAAGTCATATGTATGCAATTATTTCTTAAAATCACTATCATGTAAGATGGTAAATTATCATAACTATTTTTTCTCATTTCAAGAATGTTGGACTTAACCTAGAACAAATACTTTAGGTTAGAAAGAACGGTAAAAAAATTATCATACGTATTACAAATTATTTTTTATTAACTTAACTACGTAGTACTACTATTTATAAAAGGTCACCTTATTATTCAATATTTTCATTCTATTGAGTCATTGTTTCTTAGGCTAACCGCAACCCAGCCCGTCAATAAATCTAATCTCACACCACTTTATACGTATTCACTCAGTCAATTCAGTTTTTCTCTGCAACCCAACACCATCAATATATCCACTCAGCACATTTTTTTTTAAGTAAATGCATATATAAATCCTTACTTTTTTCTATTACACATCACTAATGTGATAATTTTATTTTCACCAATAATTATTATTTAAAAAGTCAAACATTCCGATGTAAAAAAATAAAAAAAAAATGGGAATTAATTTTTTTGTAAGTATAAAAAAATGCCTACTTGAGTTTAATTTGAAATAAATTTAAAACTATTGAATATATTATTGCTATATTATTAATTTATCATTTCATATACTATTATGAGGCAGTATTACTACGTATTTTTGTAATTTTATGAGGCAGTAGGGAGTACAGAGTACTTCGTACGGAGAATTATTTATTCTTCCCTGTCAATTTTTTCTCGGCTGTATCATTCTTTCCGTGATTTTGTTTATTGCGTGGTGCGTTTTTATTTGGTGTTACCAACATCACCCTGGGAAGAAAACTAAAATACGGAGTAAAATTTAGCATTTTTCCACCTCTCAAATTTTTTCCCAACCTTTGAAATTTAAGAAAATAGAGTTTGCAACAATTTTTTTTTTTGTAATTTTAGGATAATGGAGTATTCGATTGGTTTAGCAGTTAGGGTCTGTTTGCAACAGCTTCTGCTTTTAAAAAAGTGCTTTTTTTAATGAAATGGGGAGAAGTGATTAAATAAAAGTTGATAGTGTTTGAGAAAAAAGTGATTTTGAAAAGTAAAAGTGGGTAGTGTTTGGTAAAATAAGTGCTTTTTGTGTAATAGAAAAAGTAAAAGCACTTTTGACGCGGAAGCCGAGAAAAATAAAAGTTGTAGTGTTTGGGAAAATAAGTGCTTTTTTAAAGCCAAAAACTGAGAAGTGCTTTTTTAAAAGCAGTTGCAAACCAACCCTTAGCTTGTTTGCAAAAGTGCTTCTCCTTTTATCTTTAAAACTGTTCTTTTACCAGATCTTTAAAACTGTTTAAAATAGTATACGGAGTATGCAAACAACTATTTATATTTGAGATAAGCACTTTAAATGGAAATAGCCCCCATATTGATATTAATAAACCAAACAATGTTACTCCGTACAATAAACTCGGGACCATACTAGTTTCTGACATAACTACATAAGTCCAATAATATGACTTTGATTCTGCCAATCACCGCATGAGGGCATCACCATTCATAGGATTATTTGAGGATTAAGTTGTTGATGTGGCGGATTATTTTTGGGATCATGATTGAGTAATGAAGATTACTTGGTGAGATTATTTGAGAAAATAATTTGGGATTGAAATATGAATCCAGATTATATCAAGATGATTGTGAATGTAGTATTAATTACTGAGTGCAGGACCTACAAAGATTTGATTATTTTGATATGATGAATGATATAATTTTGAAGGTATGAGATTATTTTGAAAAATCTACGTGTCAATCTACGTGTCATTAAAAATCCATTTATTCAAGTAGCATCAATGTGGATGCTCTAAGTCCATAATTATGAATTTAATAGACAAACTGAAACTTTACATTACCATATACATTACCATATAAGTCGTCATGTTTCTAAATTGAAAAACTAACAAATCTACCAATTCAAAGAGAATGTATAAATATGAATTCAAGATACTCTAATAATCGAAAACTCGAAACTAAAAAAAAAACCAATATAATGAAATAATAAAGCAACATGCCATATGGGTCCAGTTATGTGGCATCATATTTTGATTCTATTGGACTTGCAAATAGGCTAAAAAGCAATGTCATTTATTCTAGTCTTGTAGATAGTACTTAATAGTTTTAGAAAAACTTTGTAGTACTCCTTCCTCTTGTGGCGGTGATTCTGGAATGGACATGCCAACGGTGTCATCAAAGATATTTGATGAAAACATATATAAAACTTGATAAATGTCATCATAGTAATTGAACAATAACATAGCACCTTTGAGACATTTGCATCATTAATCGGAGGAAAAGCTACTCGTGAAAAATGACTGTCAAAATGAATAGAAGAATCCTAGAAATCTCATGAAATAAAGCACCAACCATTCGAGTTTATATACAACCTTTCCAATTATTATGATAGGTACATCCAAAAAGAGGAGTATTAGATAAAAGAAATTTTCTACACAAGAGAGACAACAGCGTTCTAGGTTTTGCTATTGGCTATCATCACTCGTTGGTATCTAGTTAAGGAGTTATTGTCCTAAATAGGACTAACTTAATGTTTAAATTCGTAAATGGGAGTATGCATTTTTTTATTCCCCAAGTAGGACCATGGTTACAATTTTACCCCTTGCAATTTAATCATGCGGACAGGCTTTCACAAAAACCTATCCACACAAGCCTTTCATCCCCTGCAACGATGGACTGTCCGCACCAGGCTTTTCATTCTTCATCTTCGACAGAAAGCAAAATTGAAATGGAGGCTTTCCCCTGCAACAATGAACTGTCCGCACCATGCTTAAGGAGATGGACGCTCATGGAGATCTGCGGTGAGAGCAACAGAGAGCGGTGACGAGCGGCGAAGGAGTGACCGGTGAGCGGCGACGTCTAGCAGGGATTTCAGATCTGATTTTGAAATCGAGACTTGTTCTTCACGGTCTCTTCCTTCTTCTTCGTTAAATTCCTCCGCTCTCTTCTGTTTATCTCTGTATCCCTCATTTGAGATCCTGAAAAATTGAGAAGCTCATGTCCATCGTCCATATGCATTTAATAACGACACCTTCTTCTTCATCTGCTTTGATTTGAAAAAGTGTTTAAGTTATTTCTTAAAATGCCATAAAAATGGAATTTTTACTCTTCAAAAATGCCATTTTTTCCATTGAAAATGCCATTAAGATGTCATTTTTTATTCATGTTGGCATTCGAATAAAAATGTTGGCAGTAGCGGTGGCAGTGGCCAGATCTGTAGCGGTGGCAGCGGGATCCGTAGGAGCGGCGGCTAGTGGCGGCCGGCGGCAGCCAGATCTGGTCAGATCTACAGCGGCAAAGGTCAGATCTGCAGCGGCGACGACATCCAGCGACTGGTAGTGGTCCGGCAAGAAACTTGCGGCGGCGGCCGGAAACTGGCGGCGGAGGCCGGCGACTGGCGGCGGTAGGTCCGGCGTTCTGGTGGCTGCAGTAGGGTTTACTAAGCTTCAGGGTATTTCTGTCCAACAAAAAATAATAACTCCTATTTAGGGAAATTTGAAACTTTGCTCCTATTTTAACAATTAAGGATTTTTTTACTCCTATTTGGGTAAATCTCCCTTAAAAAAATGTTAGGGTGCTTTAAATTGTTTTTTTACTTTTGCTGTTATTAAAAAATACGTAACATTTTAAGTTTTAAAGAAGTTTAGTAACATCGTTAAAAAAAACAGTTTAGTAACATTAAGATTGGTTGAATTGCCTAAATTGATGAACTTTTGGTTGGAACGACTCAATTGGTTGAATCAGCTGAATTATTGAAAAAAATCTAGATATTTGAACTTTTTAATAAAATAAGGAAATAGTCAATTCTTTAAAAAATAGTAGAAAAAATAATTTCAATCTTACTTTTTTAGATTATTACCCACCCTAGCATGAACAAAATTAAATATATGGTAAAAAACTTGGAAACTTATTGATAACCTGAAAGTTGGGTTTACCATGCTTAATTCTTTTTTTTTAAATCATTTTTTTCAAACACTAAGAATATTACTACTTAATTACATTTTATATAATCTCTAAACCGTCTCGTAAGTAGAACTAAAACCAACGTAACACTTTTAATTTATATAGTCTTAAAGTCTAAACCGTTTCCAAAGTAGAATTAAAACAACACATAAGAGGCCGTTTGGTGGCATGAAAATCAGGTGATTTGGTTGATTCTGCTGAAATTTTTGAAGTACTGACTGAAGTGGCTGCATTGACTGATTCTGTTGATTTAAGAAAAAATTAGTTTTAAAATATATTTTATTAATAAAATAAAGAAAACATTATATATAAAAATAGCTAAAATGATCATCTACATTAACTTCATTCAATACAACCAGAAAAGTAACTCCAACCTTACTTTTTCTGCTTATTATACAATTCAGTGCGCGAAAGCAAAAGTTATGTGTTTGGTGAAAAAGTTGGCTGATAAGCCTGATAAGCCGGAAACCAGCATCGTCAAACGGCCTCTAAAAGTGTTCCCAATTTATCACCAACAATCCGAATTTATTGACCATGTCAACTGTCGGAAGTTTATTAACGCTCATAATTTTTGTTACCAATCAATTGTCACATGTCAGTAGCCATTATGAAAGTACTTCTCAACAACTGTTTGACGAGTCACCGTTTCTGATTTTGCTCAACGGTCTGTCGTATACATGCCAATTTACGCTCATGTGATACAAATTCTCTGCCTCACTTCCGAGCAAGGCACCCTGTCTAGTCTTTGAGAGTCGCTCGATCAATATTTCAATGGCGGAAGGTTTGGAGGTCCATATCTCCAGGAGTGACTTTTCCCATCCGACGATCTTCGTGCCGGAAGGCACTCTGCCGTGCAATAGAGGATCTCAATCCCAATTTATGAATTTAATTTGTATAGATGCTCCACCAATTGTGTATTATTTGTCCCCTTAAAGTTTGATACGAGTTTTAAAAGAAAAATAGTAAGAGTAATATATATATGCTACATGGTAACTGAAAAAGTTGGAAAAAGAATATATATTAAGAAGATTAAAGTAATGATAAATTAGAAAAAAGAAAGTAGTACTCTCTCTGTTATAATTGAATATTGACGTTTGCTTTTGACACGGTGTTTTAGGAGTTCAATTAATAGAAGAACAAATGTGTTGCATGCCTTTTGACATTCGGGTGGGGGGTGGGGGGGAGAGATTAATGTTATCCACTCAAATGTAAAAAAATGGGTGAATAGAGAAGGGTTATTAGGACATTTAATGTAAAAGGGGTTGCTTAAAAAGGAAACGTAAAGGAGTAAATTGGACGTTCTAAAAAGGAAAATGTAAAGATTTAAATGGGACGAAGGGAGTATCGGGTAATAAAAGTGAAGGTATATGTACATATATATTGAAAAAACTTTCCAAATGTGGAAAGAAGGACAACTTCTACAAAACGTCTCAAAACAAATTTTTGAGACAAAAGTGTATTGTTTTTATGACAAAACAAATTTGTCTGTGATACAGACAACTTGTTTTTTTGTTGGTAAAACAGACAACTTGTTTTAAAAAATTAAAAATAAAACAAGTTTGGATGTGTACAAAAGGAATTATATTTAATTTCGTTTGTTACATACTTAGTATTTTTTTCAATAGTCCGGCTTATTGTACACTCCAAATCCATACATGTCATTTAAAGTTTGGCCTGAAACTGAAACCAATCCAAGTAAAAACATTTTGCATTTTTCAAATAAAGAGGTAAAGACTCAAAGCACTATCTAAAATATTTGTCGCAAATGTGTAAAATAGTGTAGTAATAATTTAAAAAATACAATATTAATTTGATTTCAAGATAATTAAAGAATGTGTACAGACAATTGATCCAAATCTACCTTGAGTTTGATAGAAAATGAATCATCAATGAAAATAAATGAAAAAAGGAGACTTATTTATCTTTGCATATACTCCAAAAAAAACATATACTCCGTAATTCTGTATTAAAAAAGGTCTCTCCTCATATGACTACCACCATAACTATTTGTGGGCGGTTACACATTTTATATATCAAAATTCAAACTCTCTCGAGAGGGGGTAACAGTGCATAATTCTAATGATTGATTTTGCTCCCTCCGTCCTTTATAATTTTGTCAAAATTGATTATGGAGTGTTTATAATAAAGTAAACACTGCATCTTTGAGGTTTGCGTAGAGGAAAGATAGTCAATAGGAACCACAACTTCTTTATTTAAAAGAGAAAATGACAAAGTTAGTATGACAACCAAGTAGAAAAGTTGATATAGTTTGAAGGGTGAGGAAATACTTGAACTATTTTCCGTTCTAGATGGACTAAATGAGACTAGATCTAAACAGACCTAGACATGCACTTACTAGACTAGATTCAAACAAATTAGGTTAAACATAAAATTTCAAATCCAACTAGAAACATCACATACTGGTTATTTGCTTTATAAACCAATATTTCATCCTTGCCCACCAAACATTGCCAATTTTACTATGTAATCATCTGAAAAACTCAATAACTCTTCTTTTTAAATAACAAATGTGTTAAATATTAATTCTTGTTTCTTTGCACCAAATTTATCTGCACAAGTTTTATATTTTATTCTAGTGTTGTTAAAATTGTTCAAGTATGATTCAGTCGAAGAACTAGAAGTAATAAAAACTCTTAACAACATACTCTAAATGACACGGGTTAATTGGTTGGTAAAAAGTTGTCATACTTTTCACCATCCAACTAAAACTATGCATTGTAAATTTGTATGAATGTTTGCAATAAATATGCACAAAAAATGTACATTTAGAATTATTTGAAAAAACATATCCTAGTGTTAAAATACAGGGTCGGGGTTCCAAACTTTAGGAGTTCTACTCACCCATCAGTTAATTCCATATTAAGTTCTCTCTTGTTTTTTGGATATGCTGTTATATAAGTCACATTGTTTTCATCTCGTGCTTCAAGCATCTCACCAAATTGCTTCTTGTAATTGATGTGCTTCAGGCACTAGATTCTTCAAGATATAGATTTCTCTTTGACAAGGAGCTCAAGAATAGTGATGTTGGACCTCTTAGGAGAATAGTCATACCGAAGGTATATTACAATTTATTTCCCTGGTAAACTTATTCCACTTCCGGTGTAGCTGGGTAACTCTTCATACCCATTTTATATTAAAAGAATACAACCTTTAGTCCCATGAGTATTATACCAACTTCACATTAGGTTCATGTCTTTACTTTAAAAGAAAATGACTATTAGTTCTTGCCCACTCATAGTCCTTCCGGCTAAACTTCATGTGTATCGCTTGAGAGATGCCAGAATTTAGTCGAAAGAACATGGGTGGGCAAAAAACAATAGTCATGTATCAATTATGTGAAATTAGTATAATACCCTGATCAAACTTCTCTATTTGATTGGAAATACATAAACATTAATGAAGCGTTTGTATATGCACCATGATGAGGTTGATACGTACAGGTGCACCACTAATTCCATCATATGCATTGTTATTTATTGATTTTAGAAACCAGCAGAAGACTACCTTCCTAAACTTCTTATAAAGGAGGGGTTTCCAATCAGTATGGAGGACATGGATGGTCTGCATGCTTGGAACTTCAAGTTCAGGTGTGAGTTCAATCCATCAAGAGTTGCATATAGTTTAAATAACATCTGGTCCACCCGTCCACCCTATGCTACTAGCTTTTGGAGCAAGGACTCACATTTTGAATCAATGATGATGATCACTATAAGTTCTAGTGTACAAGTCCACCTTTACCTTATATACAAAGTATATTATAAAAGTGGGAAAACTTGGGTCCATTCTAAAGCATTAACCAACAGGAGCAATCCAAAGCCTTTTGTGAATCTGTATTTTTATAATTCGTTAGTGTCGAAAAGCTTAGGATGTCTCGCAATTGAACTACTTTTTATTAGGACTGGATGGTCCCAATTTATAGGATAAAACACAGATACTTTTATTTGTGCTCATGACTTAGTTTTACTCCTATTTGAAGCATTTTCCTTATATGGAGTATTATAGGTCTATACAACCCCATGAGATAGAGTTGAGAGTGTCCATCACATGATAGAATCCTAATACAACATACATTTGCTAGTTAAGGTAATGCCCATCTAGGGGTGCCATACATCGGTCGTGAGTGCCTAGCATGCCTAATTTAACACTAACTATATGCTGCAACCTGCAGGTTCCATAGTCAGAGGCATGAGATTTATCTTTGATTCTTTCCTTCGTAGTTGCAACTTTTAACTTTGATTCTTCCCTGTTTACAGGTACTGGCCAAACAACAGCAGTCGCATGTACGTGCTTGAAAATACAGGTGCAATTTTCTAAACCGAGTATCTGCTTCTTGTGATAATTTTCTCGATATCAGAGACAAGAAAAGGTCTCATTGTTGATCCAATATGTATAGGTGGATTTGTGCACGAACATAGTCTGGGGCAGGGAGACTTCATTGCTTTTTACATGGATGAGCACAAACAGAACTATGTATGTAGCTAAGCCTGCCTTTTCTTCATCTTATTCTTTGTTAACCTATATGCATTATACAGGCTGTGCCCGTCTTAGACTTTTAGAAGACCTTATTCAATAACAAACATCAGGCCTTCAAGAAAACAGGAAGTTTATTAATATCAAAAAAGAAATACAGGAGGGCATGAAAACAAGGCTTAGTGCCAAAACCCTCCCACAGGGGCATACCCGAAAACATACAAGATATAAACAAAGCAGAATGGGGGAACCTAGCAATAAAAGTTAGGCCTTATGCCCTATGTAACAAAAATTATGCACTGTTTATTGATCTAGAAACATGCTTCACAAATCATCATACAATGTTCATACTCTTTCAGAATACATACTAAAGTTTTTAAATGAAAAATAAAAGAACTTTCGTATGCTATATATGCTCTGTACTTTAGAAATACTAAAATTGTTCACTTTAAAAAACAAGACTTTCATATATCAAATAGTCTATCTTCAAAATTGAGGGCCTTCCAGGCCCAGTGCTATAGCACTCCTTTCATACCTTCTAGACAGCCTAGGCTGATGGTATCTTTTTGCACATTGTTATAGGTCATTGAAGCAAGAAAATGTGGGGATCAAGAAGCATACAATAGAGCTGCATGTGTTTTAAAAGACGAGTATGGGCAGAATGGTGAAAGTGGCGGTGCCATCCAAAATGAAGTAGCTGAATCAGAAGCAGCTGATTATAAATCATCATCTTCATGCTATTATCCACAAAGCTTCCCAAGAGTGGATGAAGAATCGACCGAACAAACGTCTACTTTTGTTTATGAAACCAGCTTCTCAAGTGAAGTAGTATCTCCCTTTGATTTTCTTGGGGGCTCAATGACGATGATGAACAACTACTCAAGTTTTGATCCGCTGTCAAGCTTCGGATCCATTGATGACAGCTTATATATTGATGATTTCTATTCTGCGGCCGCTACTGATAAGTGATAAGTAATACTCACAAGCTAGCAAGCTAGTACCAAAAGTACGTGACTGGGTGAGCGTACACATTTTGAAAATGGCCTGAAATAGAATGTTTGTCAACAAAAAATTAATTAATTAGAAATATGTGGTAATATGACAAAATGGGGGCGCCCATCTCTTGTAACAGCTTAACTAACAAGTTTGTTAGTTTTTTTTGGCTAATTTTTTGGGGGCAGAAGCAGGTTCCAATCTGTGTTTGCACTTTTGATACTTACCTGCTAGTATTTGTATATGTATATCTACATATGAATATAAGAAATAAGCTAAGATGTCATGTATTCGCGCATGTACCTAGTTGAAGCTTGATATTTTAAATCTAAATGTGATTGAATCAAGACATTATATGTGCATATTATAAATGTGGACTTCTTAATATTACGTATCAATGTCATCAAACTTCTTCTATTACATTTTCTTATTTATAGTCTACTTACTATGGGTGAACAAGTTCTGGTTCAAATCCAATTATGATTCCTCACTGGTCATTCCGGTCCACCAACATCTAAATCTTGGCCAAAATCGGTTATAGCTGGTTTGGTTAGAATCGACAGTTTTGGACCCGGTTATTGGTTCAGTTCTTTCCATTTCAAAACCAGATATTCAGGTTTTTTAAACAAAAAGATAAAAAAAATGAAGGAGCAGATTGATCCGAGTCCATTATGGAAGAACCAGACCAGTTTGCAGGTAGTTCAAGTGAAGTTTTTTTATGTCTTCAAAGGCATCCTTTGAATCTTTGATTGTCAAAAATGACCGGGACATGTCTTCTCATACAAAGACATAACAAGTAAATACAAAACTCAAGTACAAATAATCTAGTGTTTTGAGGACATGATGAAAACTTGTTCTTGTCTACTCTGGTGATTATAAGATAAGAAAAGCGTCATTGTACAATTGCTCTTGTCCATTCTAGTGGTTATATTAAGAAAATCCTTTGACTAACCATATCATCCTCTTAGATCAGCAAACATCTTCTCACATTAACAACTTCAACGTTCATTTGGATCCCATACATTTAAAGGAAAAGCAAGAAAATATTAACTTCATCTCAATTAAAAATGAGTTTACTACAATAAAACTTTTTACAAAAATAGTATTAATAGTTGTTACTGTTGGGTGTGTTTCCGAAAAAATTATTACGAAAATGTATTATAATGTTTAATATGTACTCCGTATTACGGAGTACTACTTTTGTTCCACCAACATTGAGTTTTGTGATTATTAAAAAAAATAAGTTTATGAAAGTTATGTGATTATTAAAAACAATAAGTTTATGTGATTGATATTAAATTAATAAAGTAAATATAATTTAAAATAATACTCAATATAAACTTTGAGAATCTTAGAAAATACCCGGTATAGAATATTAGAGAATACTAGTACTCCCTCCGTATTTAAAAGATCCATACATTAGATTATGTCACAAGATTTAAGGGAAAATGATAGGGATAATGAATAGTATAGAAAAAGCAGAAGAGAAGGTGAAAAAGTAGAAAAGAGAAGACAAAAAGTAGAAAAATGAAGTGTAATTGAGTATTTTTAAAAGAAAAATTTATCAAAAAGAAAATGTGTAAAAACTTTTAAATACATCCAATATGGAGGGAGTATATTTTTAGGTAAATCCAATGAGAAAATAGCAATAACTTGCTGATTGGTATTGCGTTCTTGACAATGTCCGGGATTCAAATACGGAGTGTGTCCTGATTGCGGGGGGAGAAGCATTTTAGAAACGAAGAAACACAGGAAAATTGCCGGGTTGAAGTGATATTGGTATCATTCCAATATCAGTGTTAGGTTTCGAATTCTCGTGAAACCGAACAGAGGATTCTAATGATTCTTCAGATCTGGTGAAGCGATTTTTTCGCTTCAGCTTCGTTTTCCGGGTTGCACAATACAGGTCTTTCTTTGTTCAACCCGGCGCCTTAACTGATTTGTTAGGTGAATTTGCCCAGCTTCTTTCGTTTATGCATTCATTTCTGATTGAAAACCAATTTTGTAGGAGAATTCAGCGTTAAACGCGATGAATAGGAGCGTAGGACTAATGCTGATATTACATTATCTATTTAGGGGATTCGATCGACTATTTAGGCAGATCGCGTGTTGTGAATCCTTAGTTTTGTTTGTATCATCTTCGACAGGGACCTTATCCCACCTTCGGTTCATAATTGCTATAGTTTGCTATTGCCTGTTGTGATGAGTTGATGCATCCACATAGTGAATATTTCCTATTTCTGTCTTTGAAGACAGACGATCACCCTATATCTCCCAGTCTGAAATCCTATTTAGTCCTCCCTTTAACCCTAACCAGTTTTTAGGACATTGTCCAATCCATGTGTGAATCGGTTTGGCTTAATTATTTTCTAATGGATGCTCATGCTTCTATGAAGCTGTCCTTTCAACATCATTGATGGATGCATCAGATGGTCTGCCCAGTATTATTTTGCAAGATACACCGTCAGTAAATTGCTTAAGATTTCTCACTATACTGAAGATTCTGCTTGGCTTCAATCAACCTTATGGGGGAGTGGGTGATAGGAGCATTCATCAACCTTTTGGGTAGCATTATCATTAATTTTGGAACCAACCTCCTTAAATTGGGTCATGATGAGGTATTTTCTACTTTCAGTTTTTTTCCCTTCCTGCAACTCTGATAATAAATTATGTTACAAGTTTGTATTTAAATCATGAACTTTTTCCTTATCAAATTTTTGGCAAGTAAAAATTGTTTATAGTCACAAGACTGGCACATGAGACAAAATAGTGATGGCCAGCCAAGAGCTTCACTGCATATTTTCATTTTTGTGTCATCTTCATTGAGGGGCAATGGGATTAGTCATTGCCAAGTACTCAACTGTAATGACAGACTACATCTTGTAGAAGGAAAAGCAATCCATGATGGGCACTGAAGGAGCAAATGTGAAGGTTGCAATGAAACCTATAATATATTTCCAAACTTGGAGAGTTGGTAGGCATTTGGTCCATGGTGGTTTTATTTCTTGCAAGCGGTCCTTTTTCTTGATCGGATACAACCATATATGACTATGAACTTCCTGTACAGGAGCTCTTTTCTTTGCTGTTGGGAACTGTCTAAATTTCATTTCTTTTGGATATGCTGCTCAGGTATGTTGAGTATGTATTTGAATTAGTAGCTTTCTACTCTGGGTGAATAATAAGTCTCTCATTATGTGATGAGTTTCCATATTCCAGTCTTTCTTCTGGTTACTATGAGTTGTGATTGTGTTGTTCTTATTTCTTTGTGCAGTCAATGCTAGCAGCTTTGGGATCTGTACAATTTGTTTCTAACATTGCATTTGCCTACTTTGTGTTGAACAAAACAGTGACAGTCAAGTGAGTCAGTTTAACCTCAAGTTTGATAGTTTATGATATACTCCCTCCGTCCCCTAACTTTGTTCTGTTTTACCTTTTTCGTCCATCCCATTAAGTTTGTCCCACACCATATTTGGTAATACTTGGGTGGCTACAATTTATTCTTATTTTATTCACATTTTACCAATTCAATATCAATCACACATTTCTACTTTTTCTTAAAAATCACACCACACCCCTTTGTTCCACCCCTTTGTCCCATACATAGGGGGACAGAGGTAGTAATATTCTAATGATTTTACAATATTTGTTGACAAATGTTCTTTTATTGCAGAGTTATGATAGCTACCACGTTTATTGTTCTTGGAAACATCTTTCTTGTTGCTTTTGGTAACCATCAGTCACCTGGTACGTATTTAAATGAAGGCATTGTGCCATTGTTGTTTTTCCTTAACATATTTATACACCTTTACTCAGGCTCACTTCTTAATCCTGATATCCTAATTAGACATAGGTTGAGCCTCTTAAGCTACTGACAAAAGGAAGTAAATTTCCTTGTTATTAGTTTCATTTTCTATGTTATTTTTCATAGAACAAACAACTAAAACTTCCTATTTACTATTTAGATATTAAGAAAGAAGTATCCGGGATTAATAGATTATGATAAACTTTAGGGAAAATTCCTGAAATAATTTTAAAGGCTAGAACGTCTGAGTGATGTTGAAATATTTCCTCTAATCTCTAGTATAGATCTACTTTATCCAAACCTACGAGCCTGACCTCCCGCTGCAGCTGACAAGCAGTTCATTAATGTATACTACCTATGTTCTTTATTTGTTGCAACAGTTTGTCTTTTCCACTGGTCACATACTCTACTTTGACTTCATTTTATTTATTAATGTATTAAAAAATTATATTATGAAAAATACTGTCAATTTTTTTCAATGTAAAGTTATAAAATATGAATTTGTACTTTTTACTTATATCCATTATCTAATTTAACATATTAATGATTGAATTCATGTGATTGAAATCTTTCCTCTAATCTATAGTATAGATCTACTTTATCCAAACCTACGAGCCTGACCTCCCGCTGCAACTGACAAGCAGTTCATTAATGTATACTACCTATGTTCTTTATTTGTTGCAACAGTTTGTCTTTTCCACTGGTCACATACTCTACTTTGACTTCATTTTATTTATTAATGTATTAAAAAATTATATTATGAAAAATACTGTCAATTTTTTTCAATGTAAAGTTATAAAATATGAATTTGTACTTTTTACTTATATCCATTATCTAATTTAACATATTAATGATTGAATTCATGTGCTTGGCAACCATGAGAGTCAAAGTGTTGCAATTAAATAAGAATGAAGGAATTATTTTTCTTGTTCATTTTCAAAATATTAAATGACAACATAGAACACATAATTATGAAAAATACTGTCAAATTTTTTTCGACGTATATTTACAAAATATGAATTTGTAGTTTTTACTTATATCCATTATTCAATTTAACATATTGATGATTAAATTCATCTGTTTATGAAACTAGGTCTTTTTCATTTGTTTAGGCATAAGAGATGAGCTTTGTTCAAATGTTGAGAATCATATGTAGTGTCCTGTGAATTATAGTGTAGATATTCTTAATCCAAACTAATGAACATGCCCTCCCACTGCAGTATACCAGCAGTACATTAATGTATACTCTGTTTCTTGTTCATTTATAAAAAAAAATATAGTGACAAACTGACAACAGACACCATTAATCATGTGCATTTGTGTTTAGATGTATTTTTATTTACATAGGGTCATCATATGTTTCCGGTCACTAGATCTTCCTCATCTGTTTTTAAAATTAGATTTTCTTCACTTGTTTACAGTTTATACACCAGAACAGTTGGCCGAGAAGTACAGCAATATTACATTTCTTCTGTATTGCCTGATTTTGGTGGTAGCAGTTGCTTTTCTTCACTCAGTGTACAGGTAAAATGAGAATACCATTATACCACATAGTTTCATCTGCACAGTAATCTCTGGGTATCTAACAAACTATTACTTTCTCTTTCTCCCTTTCACTTTTCTTGATTAATATGCATTTAAATTTTGTCCAGGAGAGGGGAACTGCTGATCAGTGTCCCGGGAAACAACCTCAAGCCCTATTGGCAGATGTTGCTTCCCTTTTCATATGCAATTGTTTCAGGTGCTGTGGGGTCATGCTCGGTGCTATTCGCGAAATCTCTGTAAGTTACTACATGAACATTCCATGAACTCTTACATCCTTGTGGAGAAAAAATAAAATTGAAAGTTTAAGGCTGTATATGATTGTTTATGCAGGTCAAACCTGCTTAGATTGTACATTTCCAGTGGTTATCCACTGCATAGCTGGTTGACATACTCCATGCTTCTACTATTTCTTAGCACAGCTGGATTTTGGGTACCTATTTATTTTATCCTCATTGAGTACTTGATTATATAATTATTGTATGAATATGTTAACGTACCCCGTTTAAACTTTTGATTTTATTTGAATATTTGATCTATCAACAATTACAGATGGCTCGGCTGAATGAAGGACTTGCACTGTTTGATGCAATCCTTATTGTGCCCATGTTTCAGATTGTGTGGACCTTTTTTTCTATTTGTACAGGATTTGTGTACTTCCAGGAATATGAGGTCCATTCTCTCTTACGTCCGAATTATATTTATATATATTGGGTATATTACAAAAGCTGATATGCAAATTTGAAAATAGATTTCCATGCACATGTTTTGAAAAAATCTATTATTGGTATCCCCAATTCATGATTCATGATAGCCTCAGATTCATGTTGATACAATGATCTGATTTAGACATGGTTCATTGTGTTTTTAGCAAGAGAGTTTTTTCCATGTGAAAATGCTATAATAATACTAAAAGAGGGAGAAATTCCCACAATATGGCTCAAAATCAGGTTTGACGGGAATATGACTTGTAAACACACTAGATGAGTAGGATTCATGTGATAATTCTACATTTTAGGTTTAGAAATTAATATAGGTGCGTAACTGTGAGTAGGATGGCCAAAAATCAAGCAAAAAACAGGAAAAAAAACTACTAGGTCATACATTGGGAAATAGAAAGGATGATCTTTTAGTCATATGAGTGATAATTTTCTCTTTTTTTTATGCCGGTTTCGGTCAAGGTGTTAGGCATGGTGTACTTATTGAATGCTAGTTAAGCAGGTATTTGATGCTCTACGAACAACAATGTTTTTGCTTGGAATGACTTCTGTATTCATAGGCATATCTTTGCTGGCACCAGATGACTCCAAAGGTTTGCCATTAATTGATTCTGGATAGAAGCATATTACATTTGAATTGAATTATGCCTAGTCAATAGAGAATCCCAACACAACCTCTTGCAGGAGGTGAAAGCAAGGATAGACCTCTAGTTTCTGATTTGGATCTGACCCATGATGTGGATAGGTATGTGGATTCTTATATTCTATATGGGAAATTCCTTTTATCCAACATTGCTTACAACTTTCAAATTGTCAAACCATTTTTGAATTTTTTCTTTTGTAAATTCCACATTTTACCACATTGGTATTCAAGAGGTTTTGTTTGCACCCTCTTTTGTAAGCACCTCATTAGATATCATGATCAATGCTTAATATGTACTTTGCAGGCTTGTTGTGCTATCAGAGGATTCTCAAATTCAAGACCTGAGAACATTTACACGAGTAATGCTGACAAAAGCTGCAAGCCTGATTTTGAAAGCAAAGGTTCTGATAATTAAGTTAACCTTCTTCCTCCTGTGTTGCAATTGGTTGCCATGAATGCACTGTAAAAATATTTTTTGTTTGTGTAGGCTGCATGTTCATTACCATTAGGTTTGGGCAATAACTCGCTTCATGGATCATCGGTTTTGGTGATGCCAATGGTATCGTCCAAAATAACTGGCTTTCGAGGAAGCGGGTTTGATCAGAACAAACTATTTTCCATTAGAGGTCAAGGTTGGAACAGAATATCTTTGGATGAGGATAGTGAGACAAATTTGGAGGCAGAAGCAATGCCTCCCAAGGGTGTTGTGGGAAGCAGTAGCTTGCTTACATGATACTTGTGAACGAAACTTAAGAGTGACACTGGTTACATTCATACCGTTCTTCAAGGATTTGTAGGTCTTCAAGTTCTTGTTTGTTTTATTTTTTATTCGTGCCTTGTAGCTGCGGGTGCTAATGGTCTGTAATATTCATGGCCACCCCCAAGTTTGGTATATATCTTTTCTTTTTTCATGTGTAAATTTTGTAGTGTAAAAAAAATATACGGGAGTATGATTTTTTTAGCCCACCTTAAATTCAAAATTTTGAAGTCATGGTTACGCAACTATGATATTAGTTCCTTAATTTAATAGTGGTGGTTTGACGTCTAATTCCTCTAAAAGTGTTGGTTGCATTGAAATTTCAAAAGCTTCTGCTGCTTTGACTTTGGCAAGGCGAATTTGGTGCCTGGCAAAGTATGCTGTACTTGGAAGCTGTTGAAGAGTGGATGACCCGAGCAAGGTGAAGTATACTGTACCGGCTGGTTCCTACCCGGGTTGGGCATACCTGGACCGGTCTCTAGCCGGGCCACCGGGCCGGTCGGCCCGGAACCCAGTCCATCACTAAGTTTAAGGCTAGGTTTCAACAGGGTTTAATAGGGGTTTAATAGGAGATAATATTTAAGAGGAGGCTGCCCTGCCTCTCCCACCTGTCCCACCGGATACACCTCATGAATTTAGATATCATGAATTCATGGTGATTTATGTTTACTCATCTTTATATACACATTTAACGCACATCTAAAAAACTTATAAACTAAAAAAGCAAGTTCAAATTAAGAAATGCCAATAGGCAATAGTACAAAACATAAAAACTACTCCGTATATTCCAAATCCAAAGAAACTTTTAGTGAGCACCGCAAACGGGCAGAGGCAACATGCTCTTCGGTTGCATTACATGTTCACATTAAAACACTCAAGTCAAGAAACCTAACATTAAGATTTCTGAGAAGTTGGCATTGCAAGAGACACTGCAGAGCTACCCGGCAAATCCTTCCATTGTTGGGTTATAGTCTTGATTTGTGTGTAAAAGTTCACCCCAGCCTTGCCTATATGTAAATAAATGATAAAGTTGGAAAACATACACAGTGAAGAGAAATATACAAATAATTGTAAAAATAGTCTACAAACACAGACGTGTAATAAATCATCTAGCTAGAGACAATGTAATATTTAGAGCCCGTTTGGTAACCATGTTTTTCGGCTTATCAGGCTTATCAGCCAATTGTTTCACCAAACAAGCAACTTTTAATTTTGCACGCCGAGTTGTGTAATAATAAGAAAAAGTAAAGTTGGAGTTACTTTTCTGACTGTTTTGGCTGAAGTTACTGTAGATGATCATTTTGGTATTTTTCATGTAATTTTTTTTTATTTTATTAATAAAATATATTTTAAATATAATTTTTTTCATAAATCAGCAGAATCAACCAATACAACCAGAACTTCATAAGTTTCAGCAGAATCAGCTGATTCAGCCGATTTCCGTGTTACCAAACGGGCTCTTAGTTAGCATTACAAAGCATTTCATTACCATAAAAATTGAGATCTCCTGCAAAAGAAGCCTTGGAGCCAGTGAATGAGAAGGGTAAAGGAACGGGAATGGGAACATTGATGCCAACCTGAAGCGGACAATGAGTGTGTTTCAAATGGATCATAACATTAGAGGTAAAGAAAGTAAACATGGGGTGCAGTAGTGGTGCACATGCCAATTGCCCTACATGTTAACCATAATCATTAAGGCATTGTTTATGGAATAAAAATGAAGGCTTTTTTAGTGGGATGCAGCAGAAATGCATCAAGAACCTTGTATTTTTAGTTTCTTAACCCTTGACCTAAGGGCTTTGGTTAGCATGACCCGTAAATTTATAGTTTAGAAAAATGTCTTTTTTTTTATCTGGTGTGTTTGTATCCAGAAAATGATAAGAGTAGAGAAAAAATGCTAAAGAAAGTTTTTTTCTCATGCTTCGTTTTACCTTGAAAAATGCAAAGGAAAACGAGATACAATTGTTTTTTTCCTTGATCATATATATAATACTCCCTCCGTCCCGAAAACAACCTCCCGGTTTGACTTTCACACACTTTTAGAAAATAAATTTGACTTTACTGTAGAGTGCACTGTTTTGCACTGTTTAAACACTGTTTGGCACTGTTTATCACTTTTTTGATGGAGATAATTTGCCAAATAAGGAAAGTATTGAAGTGTGAAGTTAATTTTGGGACATCCATTTAAGGATAGTGGGAAGTTGTTTTTGGGACGGAGGGAGTAGATTTTTGGAATAATGACTGCAATATTAGTTACGACTTTCCAATTGACAAATATGTGCTACACGTTACTTTTGGACAAATAAATGACCTCTTAAATCTTCTTAAATCTTGAAAGACCAAAACACCCCCTGATAAAATTAAACCTAATTCCCCAAGGCTGCCCAAAGGGTCGGTCATCTTAGCCTCCTCTGTTCTTCCCGCACAAGACCCACACCAGCCCGCAGAATCCCGCCGCCCCCATCCGTCAGATGTAGCCCGCCGAATCCTGCCGGAAGTAGACCTCATCCGTAGCCACATGTATGTTCTTCTTCCTACTCCATTTTCTCCTTTACGCAAACTGGTAGCTTATGGAGAGAGAGCGGCAGCGATGGAGAGTAAATGACGATGGGATTCAGATTTTCGATTAGATTTTGGTGGCGAAGGGTGGTCGTTTAAGATGGTAGTGACTCAAGTTCTGATCGAAGCTAGGGTTCGGGGTCTTAGCGAAGCGGGTTGAGTTTTGGATGGGCTACTGTGCGGTGTATGGCTGGTTGCGGTGATGGTGGAAGGGGAACGGCAGGGAAGGGTTGTAGTCGAAGGGTACTGCCAGGGGATGGGGTGGGGGAGTAACGGGGACTGCAGATGTGGTGGTCGAGAGCAGGGGCTGGGGCAGTAAGCAGGGATAGGGGCTGGGGCAGTAGGGATGGACAAGGGTTGGAGCAGTAGGCTGGGCAGGGGTACGTAGGGGCAGTGGTGGTCGTCAGAGATGGCAGATTGTGGGGTCAAATGGATAGGTCGCCGGAGAGAATTGGTCACTGAGTTGAGTGTCATTGGGGCGAGGTAACTATCAATGTATTGATGAGGTAACTGTCACTGTGATCATTGTGGCGGGGGTGGCAAGAGGATGCCATTGTGGCGGTGGTCACTGTGCTGGCGTTGGTTGGTTGGCAGGTGTCATTGTGGCAGTGGTCAATGTGTTGGCGGTGGTCAGTGGGTGTCACTGTGGCGGCGGTGACCAACGGTGGTCACTATGGTGGACGTCACTGAGGCGGCGTTGGCCGGAGGGTGTCACTGTGGTGGTCACTGTGGCGGATAAGGTCACTGTCAGATAAAGTCTCTAGTGACAAGGGATAATTTAGTAAGTTAAATGACCTTTAGTCACATTTTTGGAAATAAAAGGAAAAGGTCACGCTTTTGTCCATACCTAATTTTTTAGAAATATTTATGACATAACCCCTAGATTTTTTAGCCTCTACACCACACACTAAACTACAATACAAGTAAATAAATTAATAAAAATGAGTTTGAACATTTATCTAAAACAAATCAATGAGTTAGATAAATAAATTACATGGAATCTCTATTATTTCCCCCCTACTTCCCTTTCCTACCGATTTTACACCCTATTTCCGTACATTTCCCAGGTTCCAAACAGACCCCAAATCTTACCCCCCACTCCTACAACTGGACTGACTTTCTAGGAAGGTCAACCACTTTCAATAGAAAGTAGTATGCTATTTGATTGTGCCAAGGAAGGAGTCAAACTCCCTCTTTCTACATACAATGGAAATCAAACATGCCATTATGGATTAGCTGCAGAGATGCAAAAGAATCCTATTTCTTACCTGCCCTGCCTCAATCTCAGTTTGAAATTTTCTTGCAGCTACCCCAGACGTAGTGAAAATGGAAGCACCGTTTCCATATCTGAGAAGGCAAAGGATTGCATTATTACACATTATTAATAGTATTTTGAATAAATGAACGTAGAAAGATTGGTTCTCTAAAGGAAGGATATAGAATAAATACTTATTTTTATTGACAATTCTTATGGCTTCTTCTAAACTATCAGCCTGCACATCCAAACAAAAAAGAAAGTTGTCATTCACTGTGATGTTTGCTTATAGCAACTTGCTGTAGGGTAGAGGAAGTTAATGAGGCACATAATCTGCTAACAAACCTGCATACAAAGGAGAACAGGGCCAAAAATCTCCTCCTGTACAAGAAAAACATGCCAAAATTTAGATTTATCAATTATTAGATAAGCTTATATATGATCCCTTCCCAAAGGTATGCCAGCACAACTCTCACAAATTGAATGATATTTATAATTTTTTTCTTTATTCAATTTTTAACTAAATTTATTATATGTAACATGATCGTGAGTTTATGACTACCTCTGAAAAATTATTCTAACATTGGGAGGGAGGAAGTAAGAACTTCCCACTTTTAATAGACAGGAGGAGAAGGACAGTATACCTTATAACATTCCATATCAGCAGTAACATCTGATAAGATGGTGGGACCAATAAAATTACCTTTTTCATATCCAGGTACCTATATCCAACAAAAAAAGGATATGAAGATTCATATGATATTGACAACTTTGACAAGGTACAGCTCAGTAAATAAATAATACCTCGCCCCAAAAGATGTCTTGTATGACACATCTACAGCTAAATTTTTGTATCGCACAAGTGTACAACCATCATAGATCATGAGATAAACTTTTTTATATATTTGTTGGCTAAATTAAATTTAATCATTTTTAAATTGTCAATTGGCTCGTTTTTATTGACAAATTACATGAAAAATTAGGTTTGATCATTCAAACTGGACTCTTTTTTAGGGCAAATAAGTATTTGAATCATAAGTATTTTCTTGGAATGGATGGAGTAATTAATAGCAAGTGGTAACCTATGAAGCACGGAAACTCTCGAGAAAGAGTGTGTTTCTATTTCGGGTACTCAACACAAACTCTCCAAACAGCCGTTTTAATATTAAAAGATGGTGTTTCTCATTTCAATTTTTCTCACGATTCCATGCAACATAAATGGTAACTAAATGCAACTCGATCATTGGTGGATTGACTGAATATGAAAGTATACCGTGATATTTCTTCCATCCAGCAGCAATTTACCCCCACTATCTACACTGCTTTGAATCAACTTGCATATTCGATCCTTTGCCTATTGTTACAGGATGATCATTCGTGCATGAAATATGCATCAGTAGAGTGACTTTGGTTCAACGAGGTACCATATTGGTTTACCCACCTGTCGACTGATTACAGGTCCAAGATCAGCATCAGG